CTTTGATTTTTTAGACCCTATCACAGCTAAATTCGGCCAGGTTTGTGAGAATATTTTCTTTTATGGCAAGAGAATGGGCGGGTCTTAGTACAATAGAGGGATATGCGTGTCCGAGAAGACCTTATATGGCTATTGTTATTATTTCGCACATAGTCATTGTCCAATCCGATGACAGAACAACAAAACATGCTGGTTTACTACTTGTACATTTTATCGCAGACACGTGGTTTAGGAAAATTTACCTGTTGTCCTTTTCTACATTTCAAACATTTATAATGTTCAGCAAATGCTGTTTATACTTAATAATACGCATGGATTTTCAGCATTTACGGTTTTCAGGACAAGATATGCGTATGAAACTTGTATTCACCGATACTCGGGAATACGTGTAGACCTAGCGAATTGCTCACCAAACACGCTACAAAACTTAAATGTATATCATGTATATTCTATCAATTGTTTGTAACTGTATATAAATTTTACAGTGGTCTCGGAAATGGTACATATATATAGATCCGTGTCTAATCTGCGACTCAAATGCATAAAAAAAATATCGGAAAGCAGTAAAATTCCAAGCATGTTTCCATAGTATTTTTGTGGTACTCACTCGTAACGAATTTCATTTAGCTGATTGGTCAGTTAGAAAGTATCGCCTGTGCCTCGATTAACATATGAATTCATTCTTGCGTCAAAAAATCTAGTTCCGTCGATCTGTTTATAATGGGAAAGGCCATCTAGATTTTACACTTTTTTAATAAATAGCATGTGAGCGCAGTTAGGTACAATTTTCTCCTTTCACATATAGGTAGATTTCAATAAAATACAGTGACCAGCCAAAGGAGAAAATTGTTCCTATCTGCGCTCATACATTTTAAGGGCTTCAAAGAGTGGGGCGGGGTTAAAATGCAATGGAAATTAGATGTAAACATGATACCCCTACCCCATGAAAAGATTTATATCTTTTATATCACGTTGCTATTTTTGTTAAAAATAGTATTCTATAAAAGTACACATATCAGTGATTAGCTACATACAAAAATTTGAGTAAAATTTTGACATTTAATTTTTTGTCAGTATACGAGGGGCCGCAAGTCACCTCATCCTTTTTGACTTCATTCATAGTATCTGTGGTTTGCAGTTGCCATGAATTTAATAAATAAGTATACAAAGTAACAAGTTGAAATGAGTAAAATATTATGAATGTCCTGCTTGTTTTAGTTTCATCTCAGAATTTTTCAAGTTTGACCAAATCTTGAAAAAGGAAAAGCCACAAGGTTTTGCAATTATTTGACACAGCATTACAAAATGCATTATATTTTTGCAACATCATAAAGATGCAAATTTAAAATGCCAAAAATTTAGTTCACATTCACATTCGATTCATTACACAGGTTTTATAAAAGAGTAAAGAAGTAGTTTTGGGAATATTGTTAAACGCAGCTATTTTGGTTAACAATCTGGTATTCCTGTCTCCATGGTAACAAATCTTGCATTCCTGTTTCCATAGTAACAGAAGAATGGATAGGGAAAATTTTATTTCCTATTAGTTTCAATCTAAGGGGATAGTTTCAGGAAACTGAAACATGCCCTGGTTAGTCTACATGTATTTCAAAATTGTCAATTTTACGGAAAGGGGGGGGGGAGGTGTTCACAGTTCTCCTATATATGAACAGATTTACATGTATTAATGCTCTTGGAAGTGGGATATGAATATTTTTACATGACACTTCTCCTAGATATGGACTAATTTTACTGTAAATGACATCAAAACAGGTAGAAAGGAACATTTCTTTTACTATATGAACTTAATGAAATGTGCATATGTTCCTTGAAATACGGAAATTTTGCAGATTTTGGTAATTTTCCATCGGCTTTTTAAAAAAAAATATTTAGATGTCCCATAAATATTTTAATGTGTTTAAACTAACTTATATACCATCTATACGATGCACTGTTTCATGAATTTCAAATCAGTGTGCAAAGTATTAAAATATCGCTTTGAAAAAAGGTCTAGAATGATAATTTTCTCAATTTGGCAAAATGCCAAAATCCCCAAAGATAAGCGATGTTAAGCCATTTAGTAGAATTACAGTTTTTAAAAAATTATTTTGTTATACTGAAGAGGAATAATGGTAGTTTTGAAACAAAAGTAGATTTTCCCATTCTATTGTTTCTTTTAAGCTCATTTTTATTCAGTAAAACCTACAAAATCACGATTTTTGGTCATATTTTAGGAAGAATTTATAGGGGAAACAATAGGTGCCGTTACCATAGCAACGAGACATTTTTTGAAATAAAAAAATATAAAACCATTAATGATGTGACAATGTGAGTACACACAAAAAGTTTCATTAAAATTGAAAATGTAGCGTGGCCAGGCATTATTGACATTGTTTGATAATTACAGAGAATTGATATAAAAATATATATGCACTTGCAACGATAAAAATAGATTTTAAAGTAGACGTTTTAAACGGAAAGAAGGCAAACATGCAAATTTTAGAGGAGCACATAATAAAAGGTGTTTCCTTAAATTGATCTAAAAAAAAAAAAAGATTTGAATGCAAACACTAATGTAGATTTTCCGCAACTTCTATGGAATTCCAAAGCATATTCCATGGAATTTTTGTTCCGCAGAATTTTTAGAAATTATCCGGAGTATTGGGACGGAACTTCAAATCTAGCCTGGAAAAGAGCGGAACAATGCTAGAATAGAAATTTGCGGAGGAAATCCATGGAATTCCAGATTATATGTTAATCTAAAGAATTCCATTGAAATCTGTGGAATTCCAAGAAAATACAATGAACACTGCATTACATGTAGTGTTAAATAATTACAAAAAACTTGATAACATCACAATTTTTCATACATCAAATCTATATTTGCAAAATAAAAAAAATTCACTTTCTTTTACAACGTTTTATGAGACATATATTGCATATACCTCTCAGATGTACAATATAAGCACACTTTTTAAATGTATTCTCACTGAAAGTATTTAACATGAAAGGTTATTAACAAAAATATCCAGAAAAAAATATAATTACTAGAGGATCGCCATGGGTAAATTACGTTATGATATACATGAACATGATGTAGTAAACTGAAGTCTGCATTTAATTAAAACTAAGAGGTTAGTTTCATCAAATGACGTAGGCCAAGGATTGGAGAGGTTATTGAAACCTCAACACGTTATACATTTACAACGAACTGCCAGTGGCTCATATACATTTACTTTAAAAAGTTAGTGACTAGAGTGACCAACACATACTTATTAATTGCAAAAAAATGTACTTCACAACTATATTGATACAAAGATCCCATAAAATCAACAGTTGCTATTTTCCCCAAACCTATGTGCCAAAGATCCCAATTATGGTAGACCCAAAGCTTCTGGCGTATTTGCTAGAATCACTTTCTCACTGATATATCCCATGAAATTTGCAACAGAGTGTTGACTGATAATTAGTGTCACGAACGGATTCACTTTCAGTACAAAGGCTCAGCCAGTTGGATGTTGATCATTCCAACATTTCAAATTGTCGATCCTTACGCGATTTCTGAAAGAAAAGATTACCATTCAGATGTATCATTATTGATATCCATATAAATATATGACAAATAATAAACTAAAGCTCTGCAAAACAATACTATTGGTTCTTTCTACCTGGCAGATCAGTTTACTGTAGAATATGAATTCACTATCTTGCATTTCTTTTGTTCCAATTAGGATTAATTCGGATAATTGTAAAAATGTGAAAAGTTTATAGACAGCAGACAATCACCAGACTGTGACACTGATCAAAAAACTCACTTAGGCCTTAAACTGGCTCAGGTGAGCTAAAATGAAAAGGCTAGAGCTGAAGCCCAATGTCTGATTAACATTGAAAAAAATATAATTTCAATTCATGTCATTTTATTGATTAAGAAGATAATGAAGAAATATTACCGTTTTTTTTTCACACAGCTCTTGTCCTAAATCTTGTGAACATCCGGATTCCTGTAAAATGCATGTATACTTCATAGAAGATGATAGCTATTAGCTGCAGATCTGTAGCTCTCCGAAAAAAAAATATATTGATAGACCGGAGAGCTACAGTGCTACCCACTGAAAAAAAACTGTATATTTATTGCGCACAAAAACAAGAACCATTGGGCCAGAAAAGCTGAAACTTATGTGGAAGCATCCAAGGGTAGTGTAGATTCTAAATTGTTTAAATTTTGACCTGTGGGTTACATGTAAGATGGGGTCACAAAAGGTATTACAATGTGGAAATCTGGTTAAGAATAGCATGATCAAAGCTTCTCAGATGAGCGATGTGGCCCATTGGCCTCTTGTTTTTTAACCGGTTGTTTAATTGATCTGAATATTTTTAAAATAAATTCACCGCATCAATACAGCCCCACCCTTAAACCAGAGCCTCTGACCCTGGGGCCATAAATAAAACAAAATTGTAAGATGCGGGCTTATTCAACATAACTATGTATTTGGTTTGCTTATTCAACACCAAAGAGCAAAGAAGAGATTTCAAAGAAATAATGCATTATAACTATATAATCTATATAGACACCCGCCCTAGCACCTCCACTTTCTTCTAAAGATTTGGTCTGACTTCAATCTAACTTGGCACACAAGTAGACTACACTAAGATACGTATAAAATATTTGTTATCTATTTATATAAAATAAATTTAATTTCTAATATTTTACTCAATTATTCAAGGGTCGCTAGCTGTGACAGGGGCTAATATCATGATGTACTACAATGTACCCCGTTATTGATAGAACCGGTCATACCCGCAGTGAGGCGTACATATTGATTAGATCGATGAATCTTTTCTTAGTTACGTTTTGAAATGCGCATTGTTTAATTAAGGTTTACATGCCTCAGGGCATAAAAGTGAAATTAAAATTTCACTCAGAAAATATTTTCACTCATAAAAAGCATTTGTTTTTGCTGAAAATCGGTCAATGCCCAAACTGTTGCTTTGGACTACTTAAAGGACTTAGCGCATGGTTCTCAATTATTAAAAATTTAATGCATATACCTTCCTTCTGACTACACTTTATAAATTTTCTGTTTGCATTGTTGATAAACTGCAGTAATTAAAAAAATGATCAGCTCAAATGTAACCTCCGATTTGGAAGAAAAAAAGTTAATGAGTTTGCGGGTCACGTGATCTTGTGACGTCAAAGGCGACAATACCGATCATCTGTTCACGTTATTCTTACCAAACCCCTATCCGACTTTTCTAATTATGGACGACCAAATTGCTGATATTGTTGACATCCCTGATAGGTTAGATATTCAACCATATATGTTCGAGCCGCTAGCAGCTGAAAATCTACAAAATCAACAAGAGAACAGCGAAGAAAGTGAGGAAGACGAGGGCAACGACGAGGAGACTCGCCTCGGAAGTACAGCATGGTTTGTCATATTTCGTTCGTATAACCTTATTTTTCTCATTAATCTATCGTCATAATATACGAATATTTTTTTTTCGTATAATAAAGATATAACATTTTGAATCTAGTATTAAAGTACGATTTTGAATAACTAGAAAATACGCATCATAGAGAGAGAGAGAGAGATGGAGAGAGAGATAGTAGTAGTAGTACCGGTATTTATTTGGTGTCATGTCATCATATATAAAACAAATACACATACACAGATGGACAAATACGGTAATCAAAATCGGAATACGATATTATTCTAAATTACTGAACTTTTTTTTTATCATTATACTAATAAATCAAACCATTTTTTTTAATCCCATAAAGGAGGAGGGTGGGGGTCAATAAAGAATGTGAGCACATTTTTCAAAATGATTGTGTGTAAATTTAAAAATTCAGGAGGTATGTCATTTATAAGAAATAAATAAGCGACTTCTGCTTCTGGCCTTTTAATTTTATCTACTTTTTGATTGTTTAATCCCCCCCCCCCAATCTATTTTCATAAGAATTACATGCATTTGTTTCAGGTGCGAGTGTGGCTTTTGTGAGGTCATGAGGACCAGTATTGAATGTATTTGCTGTGCAGAAGTTTCACTCATTCAAAGAATCTGCCAGGACTGCAACCTAGAATGCATCACACAACACCAAACCTTTATTGACAACTGCCTCAATGAGAGGGTATTAGAGGTCAGCCTGCATGAATACATCCAAATGGAGGGGCCTCTTGATGATAATGAGCCAATGAACGAGTAAGAATTGAAACTGTACATACAAGCATAACTATTTCTAATTCATGGCAAGGAAGAAAATATTTATCTTGATTGCATATGTATCAAACTTCAGTGTGCGAAGTTTAAAAAAAAATCATATATTTTATTTAACTATGGATCATAATATTTTAATAAAGCAAACTTACACACTGTTACATTCAAAATTACATTTAATGGAAAAATAAATTTTATAAATTTCAATTAATTAACATGATTTACATTGTTTAAAAGAAGAATTAAGCTATAACAATACAATCAGTTTAAAAATCATTCAATAATTTATATCAATTTGCAGAGTTCTTCGTCACATTGCATACAGGAGGTTTGTATTCTGGGTCTGGCATAGGCTTGGTCGCGGCAACCGAAAGGTACTACCATCTTGTGTTGTCAACAAGATTCGAGATAGGTTTCCTTCAGAATACTACACCGGATTCCAGTACCCTCGACCAGTATAAGTCCATCACCTAGCGAATCTGGTGCGCCTTGACATAATTAGCTGTTGTTTGTTGACTGCAGCATATGAAGAGGTCAAAGGTGGTGGCTGATACCCTAGAGATACACGCGCATCTGAAGAAGCCGTTGAATATGAATGGAACTGTCTCCGACGCTCCACCAAATTCATCCTCAACAGATCAACATAATCTGCAATTGTTAAAGTTAATGTTGACATTTAACAATCATAAGTTTCTGAAACAATGAAATTAACTTTGATATTTGATATTACACATTGATATCACTAAACAATTATATAAATTTGGTTTTAATAAATTTTTCTATCTTAATTATTATATTTGTGTTTGGTTATATAAAGAATTTCTTATCTAAAAGAAATATAACATACCATAAGTGATTTGAGTTTTGTGTGGTTTGACTACAGCATGCTCCCCTTTCTTTGCCTTAGGATAACTCAGCTGCCATTGGGCTTCACCTGCTCTTGTGGAGGCTTGGTGTCTCCTTCCATTTTCATTAAAGTGTAGTGATGCTACACAGAGCCTAAAATTATTCATAATTCAGATATTTAAAACTTTATGGGTTCATTTTTATGATCAAAATAAATTCTTTTAAAATCAAAAGAAAATGATTCCTTTGTCCATGCTTTATGTTTATAAATACCGTACCTGGCCATCATTGCAGGATAAAAAAGTGTGTATTCTTTGGGGCAAAACTGTTGACCACACTATGGTAAACCTCCAGTCCATACGTCTGATGAAGGGGTGATAACTTGCCAATGTCCTTTAACAGAAATTTACTCTCCACCACTTCTCGAAAAAGTTTGTGGGCCCTTGAACCTATGGGAAACAATAGTCAGTCATTGATAACTTAAAATTAGATAAGTTTTATTATAGAAATTGGACATTACCGGGGGGGGGTACTTTTATTATACACATTGTACAACTATTTAAATAGTTCAGTAGTTTTACAGAGTGACATAATGTTGTGATAAAAATTGATGTAATACCTTCTTTAAGCCAAAGCTTATCTTCAGCCAATACCCCATGTTCACAAGTATCATGTTTGTTAGCGATATGTTGAGTCAGGGATGCCCACTTCTGCTCCTTGAGTTCCCCATTTTCCCCGCTAGAGACAGCCACCCAGTAACAGTGGTTGACTGCACTTTTGACCCATGGCCTGATGTTCTGACAATCTTTCTTTTTGGCTGCAGCTTCTAACTTCTTTGAGACTCCTGTATATTAAAAATTTAGTAGTTTTATAAAAATGTCAAAATTTTAACTTGCATTTTAATCAAAATAACTTTAATAAATATACCTTTAGCCATGTGCCACATATCAAAGAAATGGTTTTTGTCTGCGTGTTCTGTCCTCATGTATTTCTTCACCATACCATGTCTGTCTGTAACCAGGGTTCGGACATGAAGTCCTGCATCACCAAGTCTACGAAGACTGCGTTTCAAACCCTTCAACTCCATATGAGTAGACCCAGCAACTTCGTTACTCTAAATGCAATAAAAAAACAAACTATTATGAATGAATATTAGATTACATATATATGTATTCATAAAGGCAATTATGTTAAGGGGGGGGGGGCATTGCAATAATATGACAATAATTTCATGTAGTGACATAAAAATGATAGACAAACAACATTTATATTTTACATATTAAATAATTACACATAAGCATGATGTGTGTGTACCTGAACCAATTGAAAATCCATGACTTTCTCTGTCTCCAAATCCATGAGTGTGTAGGATCCAAACTTTGCTGAGAATCCAGGGGAATCACACCTAGCATCACCTCCAAGTGTTAGGATCTTTCCTTCACTGTTTCGAAGAAGCTCTTCCTGATGAAAATCCCAAGTAAAAAGTGAAGCTGGAATCACATAGGCAGTCTGAATCCGGTTAAAGGTTGATGTTGACATCATGGTGAGTTTCAAATGTCTAAAGAGACGCAAGCTCTTGGATACATTGGATCCACTAAACACTATGGCACTAGCTACAAGAATATTAGACCATGGCATTCCATAATGACACTGCTGGCTCTCCCACTGGGAAGAGTGTCCATTAGGGCAAGTGGAAAGTGTCCCTATCATAGTTCCTTTTGTGAACTGCAACACAGAATTACATACACCATCACAAGAGCTACATTTCTGTAACAGCTGGGCCAAGCACGATTCGGATACCAAAAACTGTCGCTCTTCCTCTGGTGGGACATCTGTGCGTAATGGACAAGTGACAGGCATATTCTGGGTATCCTCGATCTCCTCGTCACTTGAGATGTCATCATCCAGCGGATCATAATCTGGGTCATGTGGATTCTGGCTGTCTTCTTCCTCATCATCACTCGCTGAGTCTGAGTCGTAAGGATCCTGGGGGGTGAGATCTGGCAAAGTTGCTAAACCTGCAGCCACTCGCAATGAGACACCATCACATAGACTCGAGCATTGGACTCCAGTGGACACAGTCTGAACACTTGATGACATAGGAAGGGAGACCTGGATTCTTCTAATTCTCTGGGGAACCTGAATAGATGCCTGACACTTATTGGATTGAGTCACTGCACCATTATGGGTGTTGATAGTGGATATTTCCTTCTCTGGGACTGTGGTCTCAGCTCCGGGATCGGAAGCAGTCTCTGGTAATGGTTGTGGATCTGGGGGGCAGTGCTGGGTTGATGTGTCCTCAACGTTTCGTGGCTCTAATTCTTGTAGGACATTTAGGCAGGGAATCTGAGAACATTTTTGTTACTTTTAATATTGACACAAAATACACATAATTTGACATGGAGTATCCGATGTACAGATATTAATATAAGCCCATAAATTTTTTTTTTTCATGTTATCACACCCTTTACATGACTGAATTTGTTCAATTTTTAAATTGACTTTTTTTTCAAATTATTTATTAACATGTGTATATATTTATTTTATTTTGATTATTAATTATTCAATCTCATTCATAGAAAACAATTCATCTATTCTCATTTAAGGATAATATTGTTCTTTTCCTGCATTGCTATCACATTTATTTTCCCTCGTAACAACAAATTTTACTAGTGCAAGTGCACTCATGAGACGAGGACTAGTCTGAATATTTTTTCTAGACTTGCTGAACTTTTGCTATATTATTTAATAAATAATTTAATAATTAATTAAGATATACAAATGTACACTTACATCAGCCCGCTGTCGTTTAACAAAAGCTCCCCGGGGCTTCTTAGACGGGATAACAATGGCGGCGTTCTCATCCTGGGGCTTGATTAGGAGAGGTACATCTGGAACAGCGTCGCTGCGAAGCCGAATCCTGGCATTCGAATACCCATTTACCAACATTCTATCTGGATCCCTTTCTAACTGGCACCTAGTGAAATGTTTAGAGCACAATCTACTGTTATTTGTTGGTACGAAGCCTTTCCGCCGACGGTAAAATGACCACACTTTTCTCCGTGCAGCATCACTTGGAAAGCTAAAAAAAAACTAAGTCCGCTCCTCTTTTTCTGAGTGTTTGAACAACCATAGGCAGCACAATAAACCATTGTCACTAAGAGTCATCTATTATCATCACATTTGACAATATAACGGTAATTATTTCATCCAATTAGGAGATTATCCAAACACAGTTGTTTCACATTTTCTCGCTCGAATTGTCGCCTTTGACGTCACAAGAAATATGGCGCGTAAAATCTCGGGTAGAATATGCATAAATAGCGATTGAAATTTTAATTGAATTCAACTTTAAATTAAAGCAATTTTATTTACTTTTGAGAGAAATAAATTATTATTCGATGCATATTTATTCTATTTCTGTCAAAATTTAAAAAATAAAGGAACCATGCGCTAAGTCCTTTAAATCACAAATGGGCAATTCACACTCGGAATAAAATGATCTTCTTAAAATGCATTTCCTGTCGAATGCGTATGTAGCAATTGATGATCTAATTTTAGGTGAACACGTGAGATATTTTAGTGAAATGTAGTTGAAAGCATTTATAGTGTATTTATGAGGGTTTTTGTCTATTGTCAATGGACTTTGACTACCTATTAAATACTTGGTATTAAAATAGATCTCATGTACATCGACTTAAAAAAAGTTGTACATAACGATCCCAAACACTTACATTCCACTTCAAATTTGCTCTATTTTTCTTATCTTTTAATTTGTTTGGTACGAGATCTTAACCTCTCTTGGATAAGTATTGCTTCAGAGAAAGCTTTCTTACTGGTACTTGAAGATAAAGAAAACAGTATACAATAAAAAAAACACAGCAATGTGACGATAATATATTTACGTTATACAAACGGAAATGTGTCGTGACTTTGTGGCGAAATCGATTCGCCCGAAATATCAGTATTTATATTTTATTAACCAGGAAACATTTAATTTATTTTCAAATCAAAATGCTCTTTTGGGGATATCTTTTATGGAATAACTTATGTAAATGTAAGTGAAAATATATGATTTTAAATTGATGAGACTTTTTCATATGTAATTACGAAAGTACATGATATTTTCGTTTCGTTATCTTTTATTTTAGTTCACTTCATGTTTACTTAAACATTGATTTGATATTTAAACCTTTTTTTAACTCGAGAGTTCATAATCTTTTATGTCCATGATTACAAAAATCGTATATTGTTCGTATTTCTTTCTTCTCCGAAGGATTCGAACATTTCGTGTTTCAAGTTGCTGTTCACTTACATGTGTACAAAGTTCCCTCAAACTCGTATTCTAAAAAATTAAGAAATTTAAAGGGAAGATGTTTATTAGTATTTAATAGGTCTTTTATGCACCCCTTTTCAGAAACATTGCGTACATACAATTTCCAGTCAAAAAATATGAGAACTGGTTTGTTGATAGTGGAACTCAATATTTTTTTTCTTATCCTACGTGTACTGCACAATATTCCAGAAAACAAGATGTGTTTGTGAAACAATGATGCCACCGCGTATGGTAGCTTATGACGAGGGCTGAATTCTCTCAAATGCATGTCAAACTCCAAAGGTCAAAGTTAAACGGTGTTGCCACCCAAAGGAAGCCTTGTTACAAGTGGTACATCTGTGGAATATGAAAGCCCTCTTTCGAATTGTTCAAGTTCCCACCAAGGTTAAGGTTTCATTTCGTATTCACAACCGAATTTCCTTATATATTACAACATTAACCTTTCACTGAACATTTTTTTTACAGTAAAACAAAAAACAATTTGAGAATTTCTTCTTTTTTTTTTTTTTTGTACGGGGATGTAACACCCCTCTGAATCCGCTATTTTGAAGGATGATAGCCCTAGCTTCAACTGTTCAAAAGATATGGACATGGTTAAAGTGGTTGTTTTTTTTTTTTTGTTTTTTTTTTTGTAAATGTAGGTCAAACTCCAAAGTCAAAGCAAAAAGGCCAGATTTCTTGGTACCCATGGAAAGGTCTTGTCACAAGGCATACGCCTGTGAAATATGAAAGCCATAGCCCAGCCTGCTCCAATAGTAATGGGCTAGGTTAA